TTTTTCGGGATCCCCCCCCCGCGGTGCTGCATCCCCAGGACCCCCCGTCCTGGTGCTGCCCCTTCCCCGGGATCCCCCCACCCCGCTGCCCCCGTCCCAGGGAAGGACCCAGGGGTGTCACCCCTCCCCGCAGGACCCCCCCCGGTGCCGCCCCCCCGGTACTTCTCCCGCCATCCCGGCACTCAGCCCCCCCGGTGCCGCTCACCCGTCGCCGCCGTTCTCCGTAGGCGAGGACGGCCCCGAGCCCCAGCAGCGCCGCCAGCACCGGGGCCGCCCCCCGGCGTCCCCCCCCCGGCCGCGGCACCGGCGGCGAACCGGGAGGAGCCGCGGCGGAGCTGCGTCAGCGGCGGGAGCCTGCGGGGACAGCGGGGGCTCACACCGGGCCCCGCCGGGCACCGGGGAGCCCTGACGGGCGGGCGGCTCTTACCTGCGCCCCACGACGGCCCGGAGCAGCAGCATCGCGGCGGCTCCTGAACGGGAGAGAGACAGAGCAGCTGGAACGGTCACCGGGCACCGTTACCGGGAAGCGGCTCCGGTGACGCTCCCGGGGGAAGCAGGAACGGGGGACATCCGCGTGTGACAAACCCTCTTCTCCCCCCCGCCAACCCCAGACCGGTCCCACTCCCAGTTTCCCCCTCCCCAACCCCATCCCAGTCCCGGTTCTCCCTCCACCAGCGCGGTCCCGGTGCTCCCCCCTCCCCAGTCCGGCCCCGGTGCTCCCCTGTCCCCAGTCCCAGCCCGGTCCCGGTGCTCCCCCCTCCCCAGCCCGGTCCCGGTGCTCCCCCCTCCCCAGCCCCAGCCCGGTCCCGGCCGTGTCCCGGTTGCCCCCGTCGCCCACCTGCGTAACGGTTCCACTCCCGCGACGTCCCAGCGGCGCTGCCGCTTTAAGAGGGGGGCGAGGGGCGGGGCCTCAATGAGGGTGAGCCCCCTGGCCACGCCCCCTCTGTTTACCTTACGGGGCCGCGTGGGCGTGGCCTCACCGGAGAGTGGGCCCCACCAGCCCGGGCTTAAAGGGGCAACAGCGGCCCCAGCCCTTGGGGGGCTTCGAGCGGCCACGCGGTCGGGGCTCCGCGGGCAGCGCTGCCCCGGTGCCGGTCCCGGTTGTCCCGGCGAGGGGGAGGTCAAAGCCCCGGCGGCCGCCACCCCTCTGGGAGCTCCGATAAGTCTTATCAGGGCAGAGCCGCGATCTCACACCGGCTGCTGGCACCGGATGGCTCCGGCTCCTGCCCCGTGCCAACACGGGTGGCTGCGTGGTCCAAGTCACCCCCCCCCGCCCCTAAACCCCGCCCTGAGCACACAAAGTTCTTTTTTTTGTTTTCCTTCTGTTTTTGTTGTTCGGTTTGGTTTTACTTACATTAAATACATCGGTAAATTAGCGGCCGAGTTCTGTTACCACGATTGTTATTTCACTGCGATGGAGGAGCTTTCCCAAAGCAAAAATAATAACAATAATAAGAGAAAAAGCAGAAAAAAAGAGAAAAAAAAGAGTGAGAGAAGCTGCAGTGTCCCTCATTTGGTCCAGGGTTTGAGCTAGAAGATGGGGAGGGGGTCTGGGGTCCCCAGCCCTTGTTAAATACGTGTCACCCACTCGGGGGGCTCCCAGGCCGTGACATGAAGCACTGGGAGCACCAGAACGGTGGCCAGAGGGTCCCTGGGGGGCTGCCCCGGCAGCGGGAGGGGGCTGAAATCCTGTGGGCTCTGCCCCCGTGCTGGGGGGCTTCATATGAGACTGGTCCCTCTGCCCCACAGCCACGGCCCCTCCAGTTCCCCCGGGCCCGAGGGGTCCCCAGAGCCCCCCACGCTGCCAGCAGGGAGCCGGGCCCAGGTGGGTGCTGCCAGTTCGGGGTGTCCCTGATTTGGGGTGTCCACATTTTGGGGTGTCCCCTTGTGTGGCAGCACCTGGGATGGGGGACCTCGCCCATCCCACCCCACCACCGAGGGTCCCTCCAGCTCCAGAAGTTCCGTAGGGAAAAGCAGAGGGACGAGGGGAGGGTGGTGGCACCGCTGCCCCCCCGGCACCCCCAGACACACGAACAGAACCGAGGTGAGTCTCAACAGGACATTTCACCACTAAAGTGCAAACCAGGACCAGGACAAACCGTGGGGATCGGTGGGAGCACCAGGGGGACGTGGATGTGGGTTGGGATCACCGGGAGCAGGGGACAGCCCGTGGGGTGGCCGTGGCCAAGATCACCGGGTCAGGATGAGCAGGGGGACATCGCCCGTGGGGCAGCCACAGCTGGGGTCATGTCACCTGTGGGATGGCCACCAGCATCACTGGGGGGATATCACCCGTGGGGTGGGATCACTGCGGGCACCTGGGGGGCCACCACAGCTGGGATCACCAGGGGGACATGGTGGCCACAGCCGGGGTCACTGAGGGGACACCACTGTGGGGTGGCCACAGCCGGGGTGGCCGTGGGGACACCACTGTGGGGTGGCCACAGCCGGGGTGGCCGTGGGGACGGGCCCACAGAGCCATAGCACAGCAGAGCGAGGGCGGGCGCTGGGGAGGGGTCACCTGCAGCACTTGGGGTCCAGCAGGAACCCACTGACCCCCCCCCAAAAAAAGTCCCCAGGCACTTCCAATCTTCCATCAAAAAGGCCACCTCGGAAGAAATGAAGGACACTGCAGCTTCCCTCTCCCCGACAGCCCAACGGGAAAGAGGAGGGGGGAGAAAATAATAAAAATTCCAAAGAAATCCGTGACAGACCCCGTGGAAAAGCCCCGTCGGCTCCGGAGGGCTCTGGTTCCGGCCGGTTCGGCGCGATGAGGTCGGTGCTGCCGCCCCCCGGGGACCCCCCACAGCGGGGCGGGGGCAGGAGGGGGCAGTTTGGGGAACCCAGATTTCCCAAAGCAGAGAGGGAGGGGGAGAGGGGGAGATGGAGGGAGGAATCCGAGCGTTAGGGCGCTATTTGCACCTATAATACAAAGTGAAGAAGAGTTCGTTGTTTCTCAGAAGTTAAGTCCCAGCTGATCTGGCTCCGCTGCCTCCGGGGCGGTGGGTGGGGTGGTGGGATCGGGTGCCAGGTGGGATCGGGTGCCAGGTGGTGGCTTCGAAGCATTAAAAAGTGCAGTTAGAGGAGCTCTGGGAGGGTCCTGGTTCGGGGGGCTCGGTGCCGGGGTGGAGGTGCGGCGTGGACGGGGACGGAGGTGGGATCTTGGCTCAGTTGCTACAGCACTGGCTCCTGTTCTGCTGGCTCTGCTCGTGCAGGTCCACGCCCCGGCTCCGGCCCCCGGCGCCGCTCGTGCTCTGGGGCTCGTTCTTTGGCAGCTTCTTGGCTGGAGGGGGGACAGGGGAGGTGGGACTGGGAGGTGGGACTGGGAGGGGCGACCCGGCTGAGTCACCTCAGCACAGAATCCCAGAATCCTCGAGGTTGGGAAAGCCCTCCCAGCCCATGGAGTCCAGCCTGTGCCTGTCTCCCACCTTGTCCCCCAGCCCAGAGCACTGAGTGCCACATCCAGTCCTTCCTTGGACACCCTCAAAGATGGGGACTCCACCACCTCCCTGGGCAGCCCCTGCCAATGCCTGAGCACCCTTTCCATGCAGAAATTCCTCCTGATGTCCAGCCTGACCCTCCCCTGGCACTGCTTGAGGCCGTTCCCTCTTGTCCTGTCCCTTGTTCCCTGGGAGCAGAGCCCGACCTCCCCCCGGCTCCCCCCTCCTGTCAGGGAGTTGTGGAGAGCCAGAAGGTCCCCCCTGAGCCTCTTTTTCTCCAGTTGGGCCCTTCCCAGTGAGAAGGAGCCGCTTCCCTTCGAGCTGCTCCCTCCCAGCCCTGGCACAAACCCCCCCTGCCCTGCTCAGCCTCCCGAGACGCCCGTTTGGGGTGGGACAATCCCCCCGTGTGCCCCCGGGGAGCCTCACCGATGGCCAAGAAGAGGTCGTTCACATTCATGGCTGTCTTGGCCGACGTCTCCATGAACAACAGGCTGTTGTCGTCCGCGTACGCCTGCGCCTCCTGCACGGACGGGACCCGTCAGCTCCGGCACCTCCCGGCCCCCGGCCCCGGGACCCCCAGGAGGCCCCTCACCTCGTACTCCACCATGCGTTTGCTGGCCAGGTCAGCCTTGTTGCCGGCCAGGGCGATGACGATGCTGGGGCTGGCTTGTCTCTGCAGCTCCTTCACCCATGTCTTCGCCCGCGCGAACGTTTCCTGCGGCAGAGGTGGGAATTCAGGGACGATCCCGATCCCTGCGGGGACACAGGACCCCCCCGAGCCCCTGCCCCACCTGGTTGGTGATGTCGTAGACCACGATGGCGGCCTGGGCGCCCCGGTAGTACATGGGGGCCAGGCTGTGGTACCGCTCCTGCCCCGCCGTGTCCCAGATCTCGAACTTCACCGTCGTGTCGTCCAGGCACACGGACTGGGTCAGGAACGCCGCTGCCGGGAGGGGGGGGTCAGTGACGGCCGGGGGGAGCCACCCCTGCACCCCAGGTCCTTCCCCGCATCCCGAGTCCTTCCGGGGAGCCCTCCCTGTGCCCCCACTCGTGTCCCGGGGGGGATTCGCAGCCTGGGCTCGTGTCCAAGGGACTCACCCCCGATGGTGCTCTCCTGGTACTCGTGGAACTGCCCCTTCACGAAGCGCAGCACGAGGCTGGACTTGCCCACGGCCGACTCTCCCAGCAGCACCAGTTTGAACTGGCAGATCTTACTGGCCTGGGACTGCCCGTTGGGCCTGGCGGCCCCACGGCTCGTCATGGCCCCGGTGCTGCCGGACCCACTGGAGAGCTTGGAAGGCACCGATCCCTCGGCTCTCCTGGGGGGAGAAGGGGAGATCCCTCAGCACGACGTTCCCCCAGGGTGGGATCATCCCCACGGGATCCGTCCCCGGGGGTCTCCCCCCCTTCCCCGGGGGCTCCCCCCAGCACGTGGCAGGGACTCGCCGGCCACGGCCGCGCTCCCCGAGCTCCAATTCCCGAGGGATTTCCTGGAGCAGCTGGGTGGGAAGGAGCTAATCTCGGAGCCAGGCCGCCGGGATCCGGCAGCCGAGGAGGCTGGGAGTGAGTCAGCACTCCTCCCGCTCCCGGAGCAGCTCCAGCCGGGACACGCCGGAGCCGGGAAGGGGTGGCAGGACAGTGGCTCCAGGCCCGGGAGATGCCACAGTGGCTCCGGCTGCTGGCCAGGAAGAGGCTTTGGAAAACTCCCCGGCTCTTCCCAAACGTCCCCCCGCCCTGGTTTTGGTTTTTTTTTATTTATTTCTCCCCGGTTTTGCTTTGTTTTCCACTCCGGAGTGGAGCAGCAGGGGTTGATGGTGCTGCCCAGGTTGGGGTGCAGAGCACATCCCCCCGGGATGGAGCACAATCCCTGCACATTCCCTGGGATGGAGCACAATCCCTGCACATCCCCCGGGATGGAGCACAATCCCTGCACATTCCCTGGGATGGAGCACAATCCCTGCACATTCCCTGGGATGGAGCACAATCCCTGCACATTCCCTGGGATGGAGCACAATCCCTGCACATTCCCTGGGATGGAGCACAATCCCTGCCAGCCCCGGAAGGACGCGGCTCTGGGAGGGGCACTCGGAGACCAACCGGGGTCACCGGGCAGGAGGAATTCCTGCTGGGATTGTTTGTCTCGGGATCCAACCTCGCAGTGCCCAGGAATGCTCCGTCCCAAGCCCGCAGCAGATTCCGGTGGGGCCAGGACAGGGGTCAGAGACCAGCCCAGGCAGAAAGTTGTTTGTGGCCAGTTCCCCTTCCCGGGAGCAGGGATCCAGCTGGATCCCAGCAGGAAACAACTCCAAGCACAGCACGGATCCAACCCGGCTATCCCGGATAAGGGGGTTGTTCTGTTCCCACCCAAGGCCCGGCAGAGCCCTGGGAACACAAACTCCTCCACACATCACTTCCCGAGGCACAGGGAATGCTACAACCCCCAAAGCACTTTTTCCAGGACCTCTGGGTCCCGGTGGATCCCGGCTTTCTGTGGAGGACCACGGGGGCTCCTCCTCCACGGGGAGGTGGGAGCTTCCTCCTCCCCCCTGCTCCAAGGGGAGCTCTAGGACGGAGCCATCCCTTCCCCACTGCTCCCCTCAGAGCCCCTGGACACCCCACGGAGCCCCTGGACACCTCCTGGAGCCCCTGGTTTCCTGGAGGCTTCAGCTCTTCCCATCCAGCTCCGGATGGAGCCAATGCTCCAGGATGTGTCCATCCCCACCTGTGTTGGCCACACGGATCCAGGAGATCCCAGGGATCCTCTGAGGGATCATGGGAGACACAATCCCCCAGACTTGGATTCCCTCAGAGGGAACTTGGATTTTTGGGCCATCAGACCCATCAGGTCCCACCAGAACATCCCGGCTCCAGGTGGAAGGTGCCCACACCCCAATCCCAGGGATTCTGCTGCCATTTCGGGTGTTCCTGTGCCGTCAGCTGCTGGATGGGCGGATCCACGGAGCGAGGCAGCACGTGGGGATACAAACCCTGCTCTCCCTGGATGCTGGAGCACTGGCTGCCTCCTGAGTGGGACACTGGGATCCCTCTCTAATGGAATACTGTGATCCCACCTTGACTGAACGCTCGGACCCATCCTTGACAAAACACTGGAGCTTTCCTCAGTGGAACACTGGGATCCCTCCACAACGAAACACCAGGATCACTCCTCATCAAAGCATTGGGATCCCTCCTCAATGGGACATCAGGATCTTTCCTCAATGGAACACTGGCATCTCTCCTCAGTGGAATACTGGGATCTTGCCCTGACAACGGATCAACCGGGGCTGTGCCGCGCCACAGGGATCCCGAGGGGCCTCGCTCCAGCTCCCCCAAAACACCGCCTGGTGCAGCCCTTCCCAAAGGGGACGGAGCCGGGACAGCCCGTCACCGGGATTGCGACAGCCCGGCCAGTAACGGCTTTTCCTGTTGCCACCCGGGCTGTTCCTGTGGCCCAACCACGCCCTGACGGAGCCACGTGGGGCTGGGACCACCAGGATCGGCCCCAGCGGTGCTGGGGTGGCCACAGGGACCACCAGGATCAGTCCCAGCAGTGCCGGGGGGCCCGGGGGGAGCCCGGCCTTGGCCATGGGGCCGGGACAGCGGAGCCGGGACTCGGCTGTGAGGGACCAACGGGGACCCCGGGGGAGGGCTGTCCCCAAGGAAACCCTGGGATCCCTCCCTAATGGAACACTGGGATCACTTCCCAATGGAATACTGGGATCACTCCCTAACCAAACACTGGGATCCATCTCTAACGAAAAAGTGGGATCCTTCCCCAACAAGACACCGGGATCCCTCCTCAGTGGAACACTTGGATCTTCCCTTAACAAACCACCAGGATCCCTCCTCAATGGAACCCTGGGATTCCTCCCTAATCAAACACTAGGACCCCTCATTATTGAAACGCTGGGACCCCTCCCCAGTGAAACTCCGGGATCTTGCCCCAGCTCCAGGGATCTGGCCGAGCCCTGGCTGGCCCCCAACCCCTCGGGCACAGTGACCACTCGGCCCCACCGTCCCTCCCCAAACCATCAACACACCCAGGACCCCCTGGAGAGGATCCTCATCCTCCCAGAGAGATCCCAGGGGATCCCTGGTGGGGAACAGGAGATTCCCTTGGGACAGAATCCATGGATGTGCTGCTCCAGGAAGGGCCGGGCACCTCCGTGTCCTGATGGCTCTGGGGGGTTTGGTGCTGCTGGAGACCCACACTCCAGGGACAGGGAGCACCCGGGGGGACAGGGAGCACCCGGGGGGACAGGGAGCACCCCGTGGCTCAGTGGAGGCTCAGTGGAGCAGGAGAGGCCCAGGGAGCCCCAGATCAGGGTGAAGGCACCCGGGGACCCCCATTCTGGAGGAACCTCAGCTTGGGGGGAGCCTCAGCTCTGAGGGTTCCCAAATTCTGGGGGATCCCCAGCTCCAGGGCAGGCACTGGGAGGAGGGACGAGCACCAGGCAGGGAAGGAGTCGGGGCCTCCCCCAGCCCCCCCAGAGGAGCCCCCCCAGCGCAGGGATGGGGCAGGAGCTGGGGGCAATGGGGGTGTCTCCCTGTCCGTGATTCACCCCCAAACTCCTGGAGCAGCCAATCCCACACCGGGAATTCCTACCAGGACTGGGACCGGCCCCAAACACAGGGGGTCCCACAGCCCAACCCGGACCCCCCTCCCGGGGAGGGGCCGGGGGGCTCCCGGTGCCTCTGCCTGGGCCGGGGAAGGGAGGCCCAGAACCGGCCAAGTGTGGGGAGAAGTGCCCCAGTAATGGGCTAAACACGCCCATAACGGGGTGGAGACCCCCATAACGGGAGGGGGGGTAACGACCCCCATACTGGGTGGGGGAAACACCCCCATAGCGGGAAGGGGGGTGAAACCCCCAGAACGGGGCACCGCCCGCTCCCCACGGGGAGGACCCGGCCCCGACACCGCGACACCTCCGGGAGGGGGGTCCCGGCCCCTCCAGGTCCCCCCCAAACCCCGCCCGGGGGGTGGCGCCCCCCCAACCTCCTCCAGCTCCCCGGGGCCCGCCCGTGCCCGCGCTCCCGCCCCGCCGTGTCCCCCCCCGCTCCCGGTGCCGCCCCGGCGGTGCCGCCCCCCCGGTGCCCCCCCGGTACCTCCGGTCGCTCCCGGCGCGGCCCCGAGCGCACAAACAGCGCTCAACCAAACCCTGCTGCCGCGGGCGGGACCGAGCGGCGCCACGGCCAATCAGCGCCGCCCCCGCCTCCGCGCCGCGCCAATGGGAGGACGAGCCAGGGCATAGCGCCCCGCCCCCGCGCGGTTTGGCAAATGGGCGGCGGCGAGCGGAGAGATGGGCAAGGAAACGGCCAATAGGAAGGGAGGGAGCGTCATGAAGAGGCGGGGCTTGGGCTGAGTGACGCGGTATGGGACCAATGGAGCCACGCAGGGGGTGCGGAGCCGACAACAAATAAGGTGACCCACGGGGGCGGACCTCGGGAGGGCCAGCAGCCAATGAGAACGCGGGGAGCTGCAGCCTCGCCCAATCACAGGAGGTGGTTCCCGTGACTGACAGGAGGGGCCGCCGGAAGCCGCGACCCGTGAGCGCCCCGCCCATGGCTGGGGGGCGGGCCCACGGCTGGCCAATCGCGGCGCTCCAGGCCGCACGGGGGCGTGGCCTAAGGTGCCCCCGGGGCTGGGGGACACGGGGGGGGCTCGGGGGGCAAAGGGGACACGGGGAGGACACGGGGAGGACACGGGGGGGCCCTACGGGGGCACATGGTGGGGATGGGGGGACACAGACAGGGGAATGGGGGGGGAAGGTCTGGGTGTCATTTTGGGGGCCCCACGGGCAGAGGGGGCAATGGGGGAGTGATGTGACAGATCGGGGGCGATGGTGACACGGTTTCCCCCCTAAATCCCCCCCGCCCCCCTTTGCAGGCACCACACACCAAGTTCGACATTTGCTACGAAAATTTGCAAAGTTACAAAAAAAACCCGCGAGGAGGGAGGGGAGGGGCAGGGGGGGACAAGGGGGAGTCCCGACCAGTGGGAGTCCCCCAGGGTGAAAACACTGTCCCACCCCCGCAGGGCTGAGACAAGGGAGGGACAGACCCCCCCACAGCACCGAGCTCGGGAACAGCGAGGAGGGGGAGGAAGATGGAGGGGGACACAAAGGTGCTCAGCCCCCCCCGTGCTGGTCCCAGAGACCCCCCCAGAGGGGCCATTAAGTGCCAAGAGTCCAGGTTGGGGGGGGGCCCCTGGGTGCTGAGGGGGCAGAGCAGGACGGGCGTGGGACCCCCCCTGTCCCGGTGGGGGGGTCTGGCTCTGCTCTGGGGGGACCCCTGGGGTGGGGGGGTCCTCAGAGGCGCAGGTGGGGGACAGCTCGGGTGACATCCTGGAAAAAGGGGTGTCCCAGCGCCGCCTTGGCGGAGATCCTCTTGTTGGGGTCGTAGTGCAGCATTTGCTGGGGGAGGAAAGGGGGTGAGGGGGCGGTTGGGGGGTCCCACGCACCCCCCCCACCGCCCTGAGCCCCTCACTCACCGCCAGCAGCTTCCGCCCCTCCTCGTCCAGCGGAGGCACCACTTTGCCGAAGTCCTGCCGGGCCCATTTCGGGAAGCTGGGCTTGTAGTCGGGCATGGCCGAGACCCCCGGCCAGGCGGCCTCGTCGGGGGTCCCCAGGGTGCGGAAAATCCGGAAGAGTTGGTCGATCTCCGAGTCCCCCGGGAACAGGGCACGGCGGGTGATCTGGGCAGGGGGTGGGGGGGACCCCAAAGTCACCTTGGGGGGGCCTGAGCACCCTGGGGGACCCCAGAGTCACCCGGGGAGGATCTGGGGACGCTCAGGACACACCCAAGGAACCCCAGAGTCACGTTGGGGGGTCTGGGGACCCCCTGGGCACCAAACCCTTGGTCTCATCCCAGGGACACCCATTCTCCCACCCCCCACCCCCCAAACACTTCTGAGCCCCCCCAGGGGTCCCCCTGGTGCAGAGCTGGACCCCCAGAGGGACAGGGGGTCTCACATCGGGCCCTGCTCCACCCCCAGCATGGCCACAGCCCCTCCTGGGGGTCCCTGGGACCAGCACTGGGGGGGCTGAGCACCTTCACCCCCTCCTCCTCCTCGCTGTCCCCCAGTGCAGCACCAGGGGAGGTCTGTCCCCTCGGATGGGGGTCACACGCGGCCCCCACCCCGTGAGCTCTCACACCAGCCCCTCGTGACCCCCCGGATTTCCGGGGGCTGCGGTCGCCCGCATGACGTGGGCACGGGGGGGGCTCACATGATGTCCCCCCTGGACCCTCACAAAGCCCCTTTGTCACCCCACACCCCGCTGACGTCAGGGCTGCACCCCAGGAGCCGCTGGACTGACCCCCAGGGTGGGGGGAGCACAGCCCAGGGGTCCACAGTGTCACACCAGCGGGGTCTGGGGACCCCAGGACACACCCTGAGGGACCCCAGAGTCACTCTGGGTGGTCTGAGCACCCTGGGGGACCCCAGAGTCACTCTTGGGCACATCCAGGGAGATCTCAGCACCACCCTGGGGGAGGGAGTATGGGGACCCCCAGGGCACACTCCCAGGGACCCCACCATCATCCTGGGGGCTCTGAGCACGCTGGGGGGCCCTGGGGACCCCCGTGTCACCCACCATCTCAGCGAAGATGCAGCCCAGGCTCCAGATGTCCACAGCTGTTGAGTAGTACTTGCAGCCCAGCAGGATCTCGGGGGCTCGGTACCACAGGGTCACCACCTGCCACACCGAGGGGATGCTGTGAGCACCCCTGACCCCCCCAGCGCCCCCCGAGCCCCCCCGGCGCCCACCTCGTGGGTGTAGGTGCGCACGGGCACCCCGAAGGCGCGGGCCAGCCCGAAGTCGGCCAGTTTGATGGCGCCGTCGGCGTTGATGAGCAGGTTCTGTGGTTTGAGGTCGCGGTGCAGCACTCGGTGGGCGTGGCAGAACGCCAGGCCCTGCAGCAGCTGGAACAGGTAACTCTGCGGGGCCGGGGGGGTCAGCGTGGCCAGGACCCCTCCCCCAGGCTGGCCAGCCCCCCGGGACCCCCGCTCGGGGTGACCCTGGGGTGTGCCCAGGGGTCCCCACAGCCCCCAGGGTGACGATGGGATGCCCCAGGACGTGCCATGGGGTACTCCAGTGTCACCCTGGGGGGGCTTAGGGACCCCCTGGGCACATCCTGGGGGACACCAAGGGACCCCAGAGTCACCCCGGGGGGGTTTAGGGCCCCACACCGTGGCCGCCCTCCCACCTTGATGAGGGGCAGCGCGATGCCGCTGAGGGACGAGGAGTCCATGAACTTCTTCAGGTCCTGGTGCAGGAACTCAAAGACCAGGTAGAGCTTGTTCTCCGTGTGTATCACGTCCAGGAGCCTGAGGGAGGGGTGGGCAGAGCCTGGGCCACGGGGCCCCCCCACAGCCCCGGGGGCTTGGCATGGCCACGGGACTGTCACAGCCAGAGGCACAGGGGTCCCATGGCCTCGGCTCCCCACGGGGCCACCCCACAGCCACAGTTCCCCACATCTCCCCACAGCCACGGGTCTTTACACAGTCACAGGGCTCCCAGCGACCCCCCAGCCCCGGACCCCCCCCTCCCAGCCCCCCACTCACTTGACGATGTTGGGGTGGTTGAGCTCCTTGAGCAGGGAGATCTCCCGGATGGCCGTGCTGGGGACGCCCTCGGTCTCCCTGTGGGAAGGGGGGTTGAGCCCCGGGACCCCCGAACCCCCCAGACCCCCCCGGGACCCCCCACTCACGTGTCCAGGCGGATCTTCTTGAGTGCCACCACCTCCCCCGTCACCTTGTTCCGGGCCTTGTACACGACCCCGTAGGTGCCCTCCCCGATCTTCTCCACCTTCTGGAAGTTCTCCATGGGGGGGTCGCGGGACGGGCGGCCCGGGGGGGGTAAAGGAGGGTCTATGGGAGGGAGGGGGTGTCCCGGTCCTGGAGGAACCGGGAAAAC